TAATTCAACCAAAGGCATTATGGATCAACAGAACTTCTACACAGACACCAAATGAAAAAAAAAAAAAAAAGGAAGAAGTCCTTACACTAACATTTAAGTAAATTTTAAGTAATTCAAATTCATGTTCTGCTACTGATCCTGCAGCTGTAGCTTGGGCACACACATTTTGAAAACAAAATTTAAATCCACACTTCTGTTGTCACAGTTTCCTGTGCAAGTTTCTAACACCTGTTTCTGTAAAACTGGTGTGTTGATCACACAGAATACTGAAACCATGATCCCAGGGGTGAGCACTTCCTTCAAAGTTAGCTGGGCAAGCTCCATTCTGCTGGACTTTTTGGTCAAAAGCTCTGGTAGGATATCAAGTGACTTACTATATACCCCGATATCCAGGCTAATCTGAAAGTAATCATTATAGAGGATATATGCTGTGAAACAGGACTGCAAAGAGGTAACTTTGCAATACTGGGAGCGCCTTACGGTTTATAAACAAACACGTGCAAAAAAGATATTTGTATTCCACACTAACCTGTTGAAAAAAAAAAAATTAAAGCCTGATCCTCTGAGCTAAACAACTCCACCTCCTGCATCTTCATAAGGCAGTGTGGCCATCATCTACCACAGAAGTCTTCCAGGAGCCATGTCATTTTGTCAGCATTCACGCATACCTTGTTATACTCTCATCTCACCAAGGACCTTATCCAATTCCCAGAGCGTACCACTAGTCAGTCTCAAAAAACAAACAAAAAACCCTACAATAAATGGACTAGTAGTCACTCACTCTTCTATACCATGCAAGCATTAGTATAAGTTACAGGTAAATTAGTCCTACTCCACAAAAGCTCATTAACAAAGCAGATTCAACCAGTGCCACAGCAAACATAACCAAAGCAAGCAAGGCAGCAAAAACAGCTTTTTTTTTTTTTTTTTTAAAAAAAAAAAGAAAAAAAAAGAAAAAAAAAAAAAAAGGAGAATGTGTGAGTTCACAGAACACCCAATTATCATCAGCAATACTAGCAGCCCAGTCAAACAGCACGTTGGGTTGATTTGGCATCACTCTTTTACATACCAGTTGAAGGTATCTGATCATCACAGAGTTCTCATTCACCTAATTAGCTGGTGGACATGCTGAAAAGAGTAGAAAGCAGTAGATAGGTAGCAGTACTTGAGCAACATTTATAAAGAAACTGAAAGCAAATGAAGGAGAAGGCTACTGATCTTCCCCCTCCCAAATCAATATCCAACTAGAGCCTTCCTTTCACCCACTCAAAACTGAAACACACTTTCACTATCAACAGAGGCAGTTTTGATTAAAATCTCTCAGTGCAACATTCATAGAATAAAAAGGGAAGGAGACTCCTGTTTGTACAGCAGGCCTGATTCCGTGTGATATACATTGCAAAAACATACTACCCTGATTTGAAAGCACATATTGCATTAGTCCAGAGTTTAACACTTGGTTACAATGTCCTCGTTTATTTCACAGAAATCATTAACATTTACAAGTGGATGAACTTGAGTAAGAGAAAACACAGGCCCCAATTAAGCTGAATGGTTGATTTAGATTTTCCCAAAAACACATAGCATAGGTGTGTTGCTGATTCACAGCCAACAGTTACCACACTATTTCCAATGTCAAGCTTTTCTTTGCAAGTCAGCCAGTTTTAAAAACCATGGACTAAGACTCCATAATGCCTTTAAAATTAAGCTACACAGACCACAGCCAGTAGGATTTTCTAAAGGTACAGCACTGCCCTAATTCTGTTCCAATCTTGGAAATGTAACTTCAACCTCAACAGCATACTTCAAATATACACACGTGATCCTTTACCTTTAATAACAAAGGCTTCAGCCACCAGACGCAGCATGTACAAAGGTTCATCTTTTGTTGAGAGGTCATCAATTCCTGCTTTTGCATACATGCTGATGGCATCTCTGTAGGATCCCTCTACATAATGAAGCTTTCCAAGGATCAGCATCGTTTCGGTCATGTATTTAGGCTGAAAAGGAGGTGGGGGAAAGAGTGAATACACGGTAAATAACAGACAGCACAAATGAGGTACTCAAGAACAAACTGCGCAAAATTAAGAATGCTTTATTCTTAACCTTGCCAACTACACAGGTCGGAGTAAGAAGGATTTAAGCATCTAGTGATTTTTGGGATAAGCTTGTGAGAGAAGCAAACCACAGATGTTAAGGACCTACTCTGAAGTAGCTGACCCTATTCTATTCATTCACCAGCCTCTGCTAACACAAAAGCTTACCAGTGTCAAAACTAGCCACATACACATAAATCCCCCGCATTGAAACTATGGAGAAAGTGTTTAGTCAGCTACTATCCTCTCCTCCATACCTTTAACTAAAGAGCAGGAAAGCTCCCAAACTTTCTCAAGGTAGAAAAAAAGAAGGCATGTCTACCATTTTTAAGATTTGACTGGTTTCCTAACGATTGAAAACATCCATACAAACTGATGAAGAAAAAAAAAAAAATCTCAGTAAAATACTCATGTTCAGACCCTTCTTGGGCTTCAGAAAGCATGAAGTGATTCCTAACTCTTTGCCCTCCTTTTCTCGACACACTCAATCAATACAGGCCAAATCTTACATCAGTAGCTAAGTCATCTCCAAGAAAGAAACAGTAATTGCAATTCCTGAAGCCAAACCTAACACTAAGACCTGAGAAAATTCAGTGGTTCCATCCGTTACTGGGGTTGAACTATAAAGCTGGATGCATTATGCTTCCTTCCCTAACCATATATTTTTTAAATATACTGACTTCCAAGAAGTTAACAAGGAGCACCCCTGGGAAAAAAAAAAAAAAAACACTAAGCATGTGTGCCACAGCAAGCAATCCAAGTATAACACACACTTCAAGGATAACTAGCCCATAAGTTTCAGGACTAAAAGTAATACAAGTCTAGAACTTCAGACTGTTGTAATTCATAGACTTCTTAAAGTTGTAAAAATAACTGTGTCTCCAAGGATGCCAGCAATTGTTGATCTTGAAACTTTCCTAAAGCTCTGCAGCTTAGCTTATGTGCAGCTACAAACCATGTACCCAGACCATGAAATAAACCTGAGGCACAATTTCACCTAACTTCTCTAGCAGAGGCTGAGAGAAATGACAGGCTGTAATACTGGACCTGCACTACAAACTCAGACACCCAGCAGCTGCTCACAGCAGGTCTCACATCCATCAGGAGCTGCACACAGTTCCCTCAGCCCACGAGCAGCAAGAGGTCCAGCAGACAGGCTAACCCAGCAACATTGTTCTGGGGCCATGCCCCAACACTGCAGAGAGCTCTACCTCTTTCTCATAAAAAATAAACAGTATATATTTGCAGCACATCATCTGTTTGGATGCACTCCATCCAAACAAAGACACTGCAAAGGGGCACTGAATTACCAGTACATCAGTAATGCCTACAAATACAGCATGGTACACAGAGGGACATGATAAGGCAATGTCCTTCCTATCAGGCTAACCAGTGCATAAGAAAAGTATCAGATTAACAGGAATCACAGTGACAGAGCCCACTTACTCGCAGTTTTCCTCTGATTAAGACATTGGTCAGATGCTGCTTAGCCTCACTCAGTTTTGGCTCATTCCTCTCTGTCAGTGGAACAGAGTCCTTCAGTTTGGCAAAGTTTTCCTTCAAGCATTCTTCCAGCAAAGCTTCTGCAAGCAGCATACTCCCATAGTCCTCTGAAAGCACACATCAACCAACAAGAAACATCACTTAAGAGCTGATCACTCAAGAATGCTATTTTTATAATATAAATAGTGTTAAATTAGCAATTAAATAGCGTTAAAGAATACACCACCTTCAAGAGACAGAAATAGTAATAACCCCTAGAGACAGTAAGGAATAATGGGGGGGGGGGGGAAGGGGGAAGAGAAGTTGCACTAACTTCGAGCTACTGGAAACCTTATGACACTTCCTTTTAACTTGAAGATCTCTCCCCGATAGGATCCTATAGCTTTGACAGCACAGTTCATTCTCGCGCTAGAGTGACACGGCTGCAAACCAACAGGTAATGCTTTCAGAGCAACCAAACCGCTGTTATGCTTAAGGGAACAAGCCAAAGTCCCAGCTCCACGCGCCACAGCCTCGCTCCTCAGCGGTTCTCCCACGGACAGGCGAGGCGCAGCCCGCGCTTCAGCCCAGACGGGATCCTCAGAAGACGGCCGGTTCGGAGCCCTGAGCCGGGGGGCTTCAGCACAGCGCTCCGCCGAGCCGAGCACAGTGACCCGCGCACGGAGCGCCCCGCTCGCCCCCGAGCCCCGCCGCAGCAGGGCTCCGACCCGCTGAGCACAGAAGCTTACCCGTTTCCTCCGTGCCCCCCGCCGCCACTTTCCGCCGGGTGCGCGCCGGCGGCAGCAGCTGCTGCTGCACCAGGAGCCGGAGCTGCCCCCAGTGCCCCTCCGCCCGGCACCGCTCAATCTCCCCCTCCAGCTTCACGTGAGACAGCGGGCCCTTAGCTGCCATCTTAGCGCGCGCGCGCCCGCCGTGTCCGGCGGCAGCCCCCGGCCTGCACGAAGCCGCCCAGACACGGCGGGGCGGGGCGGGGCGGGAACAGTAAGTACGCTTCCCCTGGCGCTGCCGGGCGAGCTAAGGGCCGCCAAGCAGGGCCCGCCTCAATCGCGCGAACCACGCCCCTCACTGTAAGCCCCGCCCTCGCCCCGCCCGCTCTACCTGGCCGTCAGCGAACGCTCCACGTGGAATTCCAGCGGCGGTGACGTCCGGTGCCGCCGATGGGCGGCGCGCGCCTGCGCAGTAGCAGAGGGGCGGTGTGATGGTGGTGGGCCCGGCGCGGGGAGGCTCCACCTGCTGGGCACGGCGCGGTGGCCGCTATCCGCCGGCGGGTGCGTAGCGCGGCCGGGTCGCGGTGTAGCCGCGTCGACGGGCAGGGCCGGGCGTAGGGCCGCTGTCATGGCCCCCTTCTGTGGGTGCCGGGGAGGGCGGGGGATAAGTGTAAACAACGGCTGTGCTGGCTTCGCAGTGTCCGGATCGATGCGCCGCGGTGCTGAGCGCGAACTTTGGCCCCGTTACCGCGGGCAGGGCTGCGTTCTGGAGTTCGGCCGGGCTGTTTTCGTCCCGTTTTGGTCTAAGGGAGTGTATGTGTGCGTGTGTTCTTTTTTCCAGGAGACCACGATGGCCCCCATGAGCTTTAGGAGCCCCCTGCTGTTCTGCCTGGTGGCCGCATGGCTCGGCCCTGTCCCGGCCGAGGAGCCCGCGGCGGAGAGTCTGTCCTCACACGGCCGCCTCGATAAGAACTTGGTGCAGGATAAAGAGTAGGTGCTCTGCCAGTACGAACTTCTCCGTGCTTTGCTCGTCTCTGAAGTCGGGTTACGTGAGCTGGGCCGCAGCCTGGGGCACCCTCTGTCCTCGCGGTGCTGTATGAACGGGTGGAGTCAGAGATGAGGCATTCGCTCAGTAAGTTTAGTAGGGATGTGAGGTATATGGAAAGGTCGTACTGGACCTTTAGCCCCGTTCACAGCATGAATCATTCCTTACAGGCATCTTGGCTACCTAGATCAGCGTAACATAAACAAAGCTGTGTTTTAAAGAGGTAGGGGAGAGTTTTATTCTTCCTTGCTTCTTCATACATAAAAGAGACTTGGCAGCAATGACATTCCCTGCTTCACGTTTGACTGGGAGCGATCTTCCTCACGTTACTGGGCTTTGGAAGGCAGCCAGAAGGAGATTCAGGGCACTGCTTCACTTTCCTATAATCTGTTAAGTAGGCCAGAAGAAAAAGGGACAGCTATCTAGCACCCGTAGCAAACAACCTTTGTACCCTCCTCATTTCATTATAAAATACCTTTCAGCTGTGGGCAGCGTGCAGGGTGCTTTAGAGATACGTGGTATCCATGTACTTGGCTGCTTGATCTAAGACTAAATTTTACGTAAATCAAGAATTAATAATTAACTGTTAACACTGTGTTTTGTCATGGTTGTTTTTTTTTTCTTTTTTGCATAGCCACATCATGGAACATTTAGAAGGAGTTATTGAAAAACCGGAGTCTGAGATGTCTCCACAAGAGCTGCAGCTGCATTACTTCAAAATGCATGATTACGATGGCAATAATTTGCTAGATGGGTTAGAGCTTGCTACTGCTATATCACATGTCCACAAAGAGGTAGATGAATATTGTAATAGTTTGTGTGCTTAGAAAAAGTTCTGAAAAGCAGTTCGATGTAGAGCATCTACAATACACCTTCAGGGCAGTTACAGTACAACAGTTTGGTCTGAGACTGTCTCCCATTTGGTTTGACTTATAAAAGTCCTGGCTTCATCACATCACAGTTTTCAAGAAGACTTCGCTGTAGTTTAAACTTCAGTGTGAATGAAGAGTGGAAGTGATCTGATAGAGAGGATTCTTCAATTGGCAGAAATGGGAAGAGGAGAAAGGGAAATTATCCAAATTGGAATTAAGCTAAAACAAGGTTATCGAAGTAGCATGTGGTGATGCTGCTGCAGGTCCTGAGACTGCTGTTTTCAATTCCAAAATGTCAGTGCTGTGAGTATGCAAAGTGCAGGAGACCTCTGTACATAGTGTGACAAGAACCAGTCATAGCGTGCCTTTATCTTTTCCTAAACACATTTTTATCCTGCCTATGAACATTTAAGGACAAATGGAGATATAATTGCTTTGGAAAGATAATGCTGACACAATATCTCACACTGACCTTTCAAAAATTACAATTCAGAATATAACTTAATGTATATTGTTTTGAAAGGCAGAGAATGTAGACTTAATAGCTTGCATCTGGTAAAATTTGCTTATATTGAAATAAATAATTACATAACACCTAGTGCCACATTAAACATCAAACATGAGCTGCTTAACAAAAACCAGTTGTCAGTAATCTGTCAAATGTGCCCTGCATGAGAAAGATGGCTTAACTGTTGTCTTGTTTTTTTGTTGTTGTAGGAAGGTGGTGAGAATACCCAGGCAATGAAAGAAGAGGAGCTAATTAGTCTAATAGATGACGTCTTAAGAGATGATGATAAGAACAATGATGGATACATTGACTATGCAGAATTTGCAAAATCACTGGAATAAGGTTTTGAAGGGGGCTTGTTTCTCCATCTAACAGAATGGGAATGTGACCCAGTATAATGTGATTTATTAATCATGTCAACCTTTGTGCTGAGGTATTTGTGAGCTGAAGTGTCCAGTTGAATTTGTTTGCAAACTCCATGTGTTAAGAGGCTGGCTAATCTCAGAATGGTAGCCACGCTTGACTAAAAGTAGGTACGTATATGAATCTCGAATGATGGAAGCATCAAAATATTTCCATAGGCCACAGCTGGCAAACTCTTAAGCTAAATGTGAATACTTAATACAATCAAATACAACCCAAATTCCTTTTTTTTTTAATTGAGTTGTATAAAACTTGTTTGCTTACGTCTTCTACTTTAATCTATGACATACCTAGAAAGAAAAGATGATGACTGTGTGAAGTTGTATATAAAGAAGACATTTCCTTTTTGCTAATTTCAAATATTCATACAAGTATGGTGCTTGAAACAGCAATTGTAGAAGATGAAGGTGGTTTGTGTTTGAGGTCCCTCTGATACTGTGTGGACTTTAATAATATCTCCAAAGAAATTGAGTATTTTTAATATATGTACTTGCTAGCATACCCTTACACATTTATATATAAATGTACACTTTTCAGTTTCTTCTCATCCTTCACAAATTTACTTTTTATTTTTAAATTTTTCTCTACCTTTCGTGGTCTTTTGTTAAGAAAATGAAAGTATTTTTAATTCATATACAATGTTGTATTAATGCTGCATAACATCTACTAGAATACCTTCTGCTATCTCATTTTGAAGGTCACATTAACTGTAAACCAGCTCAATACTGAACTTTCTTTTCAATTTGGTTCTTAAAGTATTAGCCAGCAGGATAATCTAAGAGCAAGTAATGCTGCCTTGTTGAGGTTTAATTTCGTATTTCTTGACACATAAGTTACAGTGTTACTTTCAGGAGGTATTTAATCGCTGTTTAAGGATACTTGAATGTTTGTAAACAAACATGGTTCTAGGAATGTTTTCACTGTCCTCAATACTTGCTAGGTCAAGCAGTTTAAGGATGTGATGTACAGTGATGTACAATGATGTACTGCTGCTTTATTGACATTTGGTAACTATTAAGCATAGCTGAAATCTTAAATTGCATTCAGACACTGTCCATGAATAGAAAATCTAAATGTTAGCATTTCTGTAAAGTGCATAAAGAGCTATTTTCTGTACAAAATTATTCTTATACAAGAGAAACACATTTGTAAAAGAAATTATTCCATTGGTTTAAATGTTTGCACAATGGATCCTGTGTTCGACTTTTTTTTTTTTTTTGTAATAACTACTTTGTGACCAGGCTCATGCTGGTTGTACAAACAATAAAAAGAAGTTGGGATTGTAGCACTTAGGAGCCAACATGTGGGAAGTTCTAGTGAGGCATGTGCTTAATTTTCCAATAGAAAGCCCATCTGTGTTACTAGCAGGCATCTTAAAAACAAAATAATTATTTTTTATTTCCATGGTAATAAATTTGGAGTGAAAGTTGAATCTGAAGAAAGTACAGAGAATTGTTAATGGATAGGAGGGGAAGGGAGACAAAGGGCTCTGAACATCTAAAGATTATTGATCCTGGCAACTCTTACGTGCTTACTTCATAAGCTTTTTTTGGAATTACAATGGACCAAGAAACTGACTTCTGTGTCCAGCTCTTAAGAATCATTGTTTACTTATCAAGTGCAGTGGTCTTAGAGACTAAGAAGAATGCTTAAGCTTAGTCTAGCAACCAGTTATGTGGCATGTATTTATATAAATGTCTTGTTTACATGGTTATTAATAGTTATCCTATGTGGCAAGGGATGTCTTGTATCAGGAGTAATGATGATAAATACAGATATTATGGATAGCATTTTTTACCAAATAATTTAAACGTGTTTTTATGGAGTCAGAAGCTTGTATAAATTGAGAAATTGCTTGCCAAAAATGGAGAATAAAATTGGCACCTTTCATTTCACAGTGCTTTAAGAGAGAGTAAAGTAAAAGTTCTGCTTTCCTAGAAAAATGCACAGCTCTTGAAATATCCAACCTGAAACCTGCAGCATCATGTGTTTAATCATCATCCTAAAACAAAGACATCCATTTAATTAAGTGCACTTAAAGATAAAAGGTTGAGTCAATTTTTTTTAATTTTTTTTTTTTTTAATAGTTTAAGTAATTTGTGTGCTTGTTGTAACTCATGCAATACCCTAAATATGTTGGTACAAGTCATGTAGACATACAGTGTTCTCCAGTTTGAGTATTTAATGGAGAAAACAAGGCCTTTATGGCAGAAGTTCTCAACAGCTAAAAAGCTGCTTTACCTGCTGAAGAACAGTACTGTCTATTTCACAGTTAAGATAATAAATGGATAATAAAGCAGGAGAAGTGTTTGATATACTGAGTGTTAACTGCATCCCTGTCAGAAACAGAAAACTAGGATAAAACCTGTGCAGTCTTCGTCCCTTCCAAGTCTATGATCTCAGGGAACTAGAATTAGTTTTCCCCATTGAGGTACATCTGGCCTTACATTACTGTACACTGTTTAGTTAAAGCATCTAGATTGTCTGCTTCAACCTTAAACAATACTACCTAATCAGCAGCTAAAGAAAACACTTTAACTGATTCCTGAATATTCATAAACTGAGCTATTGGTCACTGGTCCACCTAGATCACAGTCAAAAGGGGAGAAACCTTTTTTAAAAGTGCAAATTATTAATGCCAAAAATGCTTTCAGCAACTGTTTTGTTTGCAAACTCGCACAAACTTTAGTATCTTCTTTTGGCTCATAACTTGTAGCCTCAAGATGTCTTAAATTCATTACAAAATGGTTAAACTTACAAATCCTGATCTCATCTAAAGCATTTTCTTAATATTGGCAATTTGCTAGAGTGGAAACAGTAATCCAGGAATGATGTTCTCCTCCTTACAGCCGCTAGATAGCGTATCAACACCACAAACTTGTTCTTGGCAGTATGCAACTTGAAGTGATTCATAATGGATTTCTTCATAGCATCAACCACTATCGCGAATACCGGCGAGGCCTGCTCCTCTGTCTTTTAACAAGAGCATGTTGCCAATACAATGCTGGTTACTACTAATTCATTTTCATTGCTTAGGGACTCAAACCTGCCTGAAGTGACAGTAAAGCAACTGATGTAACAGTGTCAGTAAAAACAATGTTGTAACAGAAGGCTTTACAAGGCAAGCACCAGGCCTGACTTGACTTCTTGACCATCACTAGTTGTTGACCACTATGAGAAGGACCGCTGAGGTATCAATAGTAGTCTCAAACAACGTTAAAAAATGTTAGGGGTTTTTAGTAGGACCTGAAGCCTCACCATTTTTGCATCTCATGTTAGTAAGAGTCTCTTATTATGAGACATACTTAGAGTGTGAGCTGATGTTAAGCTTAAGCGTTGGCTTAAAGTACAATCTCCTACTTTCTTCATCTCCCCCATGGCATTGTCACTGTCTGCCTACTGCATCAAGAAACAATTCTAAGTTTTTAGCCAACAAATTAAAACAAGGTTCATTATACACTTTAGTCTGTGTTATTTACCATCACAAAGAGTTTGTGCTCTAAATGTTTCATTGGCACAGATAGCTGTCTGTATTGAATCAGATCTATTATAAGAGCAATTATTTATGCCTTACAGAAAGTTTAAGTTCGATTACGTTTGTTCCTGCTCTTCTAAATTCTGAAACATCCTAAATATAAGAGCTAATACATGCTCTAATTGTCACTACCTTGCTCAGCTGAGTGGCAGTTTTGCACTTAGGTAGAGGGCAGTGTAACACACGACTCAAAGTATACTGTCAGGTATGACATTTTACAAGAATTCAGTTCTGCAATGAAATAGTGTCAACCTCTGCTACTTAATCCCAGTGACTGACAGCAATATATGTCAAGAAGGCAGATGTCAATAAACCCAGAGAATGGGTAGGGAAGATCTCATAGAAGGCAAACCTCGGGGAAAAACAAATTACAGAGAGCTGTCAGCTCCTTCAACAAATGCTAATAAGAAACCAATTGCAAGCTATACCACTTTTGAGGAAGGTAAGGAAATTCAGCACAAGTCAGCTAATGTATAAGATTTTAATTGACCACAAGCATGAGAGAGAGATCTGTAAAGAAGAAACTAGGTCAGCTAGTGGAGAGCATACAACAATATGTCATCCATAAGTGTGTATGTATGTATCATAGAATCAGAGAATTGTAGAATGGCTTAAGTTAGAGGGGACCTTAAAGCTCATCTGCCCCTCTGCCATGGGCAGGGCTGTCACCCACCAGCTCAGGCTGCCCAGCACCGCATCCAACCTTGGGTAGAATGCTTTCAAAGAGGGGGAATCCACAATCTCTCTGCACAATCTGTTTCATCATCTCACTGCCCTCTGAGTGAAAAACTTCTTCCTAACATCTGACCTAAATCCATTTACTCCATCCTATCACTATCAGACCATGTAAAATGTCAGTCTCTCTACTGCTTATAAGCACTGGAAGGCTTCATTGAGGTCTCCCTAGAACCTTCTCAAAGCTAACAAGCCCAGTTCCATCAACCTTTCTTCACAGGAGACATGTTCCAGTCCTCTGATCATCCTCATGGCCCTCCTTTGGATCTGCTCCAATAGCTCCAAAACCCTCCTGTACTGGGAGCCTAGACCTGCACATAGTGCTCCAGATGGTGCCTCACAAGGACAAAGCAGAGGGACACAATCAGCTCCCTTTCCCTGCTGGCCACCCCTCTTTTGCTGCAGCCCAGTATACTGTCAGCCTTCAGGGCTGCGAGAGCACACTGATGGCTCACATAAAGCTTTTCATCCATCACGTCCCCCAAGTCCTTTTCCAGGGCTGCTCTCTGTGAGTTCTCCCAGACTATCACAGATACAGTCAGTAAAAAAAGAGTGCACAAGGTGCAACTAGCAAAACATATTAGAAGCTGTCGAAATTTTACAAGTGCATTGAAGAGAAAAACGAAAGAAAGATGGGGGAAGCTGTCAGCAGAGGATGTTAAGGGTGTGAGAGTTTAATGGAATTTTTTTGCCCTTTCTACTAAAAAGGCAAGAAAACAGTGCAATGAGTACAAGGGAAAAAAGTGTTAAAACTTCAGCCTAAAAAATGAGAAATCTGCCTAGAAAGTAACCCGTTAAATTAGATGTTTTTAAATTGCCTGGGCCCAATCAGCTTCACTCTAGTACTCTTAAAGAGGGTGAAGTAATGGCCATAAGTGTCATATAACTCAAAATTATTTATTTAATGTAGGGGTTTTTTTGCAAAGCCTTTGGAATACTTCCTCATAAACAGGCTAGTGAGTTGTGATCTAAATGAAACTGCTGTGGGAAGGGGCAGGAGGTCAAGTCTGGTTGGATGATAGCATAATTAAAAAGTAACATTTCAAAATAGATGTGTTCTACAAGGAATTCAGTGGAGATTGGTCCTGTATCTGGTTTTATTTGATGTTTTTATTGAAGGCATAGAAGATGAATGTATGAAGAAGTGTAAGAGAAGTATGGCAAATAGGCATACAAGTGGAGATATTATGAATGGCAGAATCAGAATTTAAAATGATCTTGATATATTTAGAGAAGTCATCTAAACCGGATGGAAGGCAACAGTATAAAATGCCACGCTTAAGCAGAAATACTCATCTGTCTAGTTCATAAGATAAAAATCTAGGGACTGTAGTGGAACACAGTCTGAACACGAGTGGCAGAGCTGTGCTTTTGCATAAAGCACAGATATGACATTGGGATGTCTAAAAGGGTCTTAAAGACAATGAATAGAGTCCTTGTGGTCTTATCTTCACCGATGAAGACTTAACTGGAAGACAGTGACCTGTTTTGTGCACTGCACTTCAAGAAATACATGAACTAGATGGTAAGAAACCAGAGGAGATCAACAGAAATGGACACAAGTCCAAAAAGCATGAGAAAAAAAATTGCAAGATTCTTTTTTTCCCTAAAAAATAATGTTTAAAAGGAAAGATTAATAGTCCTCAACTAGCAACAGTGAAGTCAGTTGTTCGGTTGCAAAGAACAGCTGGGAGGACCATCTTGCTGCATTCAGTTCCTGTGCTGTGTGACAGAGCAGTCTGCAACCAGAAATCTCCTGCTCATTCTTGGCAGAGTTTGCCCACTGCCGCCAAGTCCAAGCGCAAAGCCTGACAAGTTTCTCCTCAGCACATTCAAGGTGTGATTGTCAAGAGCCAAAAGTGGACACTTTGAATCAGAAAGAAGTGGGGATGGAAACATAGCCCTGACTCTAAGATAATATTTCACTTAGGTCTTCAGCCCTAGCTCCCAAGCATAAAGATACTAAAGCTGTTTCTTAGAAAAGACAAGAATAAACAAACAAACAAACAAATAAATAAAATAAAAAGGCTACTGACTTTTTTTTTTTAATGACAAAGTGAACTCCTAGCCCTGCTTTTAGCAAACAGTCAACTATTTTTGCTGAGATGGAGACTATAGTGCAAGAACATCCACACCGAGTTAAAGCAAAAGCTCACTTAGCCCAACAGCTTGTCTCAGTAGTGTCCAAGAACAGATGGAATAATAAAGAATAGAGAAAGCATATGGTCATACTTCTCACAAATACATTCACAGGTTTCAGCAATTTGTGGCTCAGGGACTTGACTTCAACAACAAAAAAACCACTAAAGTCAGAAAGATCAAGTCTTAAATGTTAAAGTCAGGCAACACTACTAACTGCAAACAAGGTCTTATGGAACATGGGCTATGTCCCACAGTCAGTGGTATGTACTGGGCAGACTTTACTGTTGACATTGCTAAGCCATGACCTTCAGTGTAAGCTAAGTGCATGATGCAGCAGTGATCCCAGAGAACCACATTAATGCAGTGGTGTAGCACAACTATACTGTTTCTAGATATCACATGCTTCTTATCTAAGGGGAAGCTTTCAAAACCATCTAATGGTTCAGTTTACTTCTGGCTTTGGTCACACTTCAAGAACCACATTTAAAAATTACCCAATTTCGAGAAAGTAAAAGCATGTATTTTGAAATAAATCCTCTTTAAGAAACACATAATATGCTCCAGAATTTATTTTGTCATAAAACAGAAAGAAGCCACAAACACAAAAATATTGACTTAAGTGTCATCATCCATGGCTCACAGCCATTGGAGACTGACATATTGCCACAAATCATGGCAGGTATGATGTTTTGTTCCAGGAAAGAGAACTGAGATGAATAGAAATCAGATTTGAATGCCAGTCCCTTTGGGAGATGTCTTCAGGGACTTTGCAGAAGTGACTGTAAAACCACGCTGTCAGCCTCAGCATGGATTGGAGTGGGAGTCAGGAAATGCACTGGTGAGGATTTTAGGCAGCAGGGCATGCATTTAAGACTGGTCCAAGAAAAGGAATGTGTACATTTAGGATGCATGCGGAGTTGTTAGACACCTCACATTTGCCATTGTAAATTTAAGAACATGTTGGCACTGACTAGTGAAGTTAAGATCTCCAAAGAACACATAACACGTATACGTACACCGAGGCGGAAACCACTTTCAGTAACCAAATAATTCTGTCACCAGACAGCCTAAAACTACTCAAAGGCACCATTTCTGGCCAAGACCAACAGATTTAAAATATTTTTTCGAAACTCCAGGCAAATGAATTTTCAGTATACGACAAGTCAGAAAGTCTTTAGGAAAATCTCCAAGCAGATGATCTCATTTTTTAGCTGTCATATCTCTTAAACACCTTGACCAGTTTCCTTCAACTCTTCCAAAAAATCTGTCCCAGAATAAGATTATGCCTGTGAAGTTGTAGGTGTATAAGGCTAATTTTGGCAGAGACAGGAATAGGAATAAAATCAAGTTTATAATGGAAACTTAAGGACATCTGCAGTTTACTGAATACTGTTCACTGTGATCTATATAATACATGATCTTTTCATTGCAGCAAAAATATAAAGTGCTTTTATTATCAACAAGGGAAAAGACCACTTCCCCCATGTGACGTCCTACATATGAGATTAAAAGTCCTGGCAGGTCATGCAAATATTTTTGCTTCCTCCCACTGAAATGTTTATAGGATCCAGATTCATTTCCTATGGTCTGGCTTCAGGATTTCTACAAAGACTTATTACACCATGTTGGCAGTTCAGAATGATGACAAGTTCTGACTGCAGATGTGTCTCTACCACAGGCCTTATTAAAATTGCAACATGTTACTGAGGTACCCAACTACCTTTAAATTAGTCAGCTAAGATACTGCTAACACCATACCAATAGCATTACAGAACACAGCACAACAGCAAAACTGAATATAAACACGGAGTAAGGTAAGCAACTTATCCTTTTAGCAGGCCATGCTGAACACTTTGTTCCTGGGACAATGTTACTAATTGGACTCAGAGTAGCTAGTTTAACGGTGATTTAGGTATGCAAGAGCAAGCTCTACACAGTCTGAACACAGCACTCACACAGTTTTTGCTGAGATCTGGAAATTCTCTAGCTTGTGCAATGGCTAAGGGAGAACTCCTCTAAGGAGTTTAACACAAGCCTTCTCAGATTCCTGTGGAAGTTAAAGGTCCTTTCTGGGGGCTTGTAAAGCTCCATCTAATAAAAACAGTTTAGGGAAAGAGATAGGCGTATACCAGCTGCAGATCAGAGAGCACATTTCCTCCAGAGTGCAGTTGAGCTCCATCTGCAGATACTGCTCCCAGAAACTGCACATCACCCTCAAAATTATTATCTGCCCACTGAATCTGATGCAACTACTGACCCACAACCATGCCACTGGTTGCTGGTCACCAAAAAGCTTCCCAGTATAAGAACCTAATCCGGAGGCGAATCAGTCTAGCCTGAAAACTCTTCTTGCTGGCATCGCCAGTATTGGTTGAAAGTGCAGGAGAAAAACAGCTTCCCTGAACCAGATAAAATTCTTCCTAAACGCCATGCAGCTCATTCATCTCATGAGCTAGCAACTTCAGACTGGTACTCAGATCAGCACAGAGATCTGACAGTCCATCCTGATACCACTTGACAAGGAATGTTGGTCAGGAATACAACAGATGGACAAGAGAAGGTAAAGGATAAGATAAAGAGCGCTATAAGCAGTCATACATACCCAAACCCAGGATGTGCTCAATCATAAAAGAGTAGATGTCACCCTCCCAAATTCTACTCCCTGTTAGTGTAATCTCAGTCTGCTAGAAGCAACTTCTGTCAACACATCACGAGTTTCAATATTGGATTAAATATATTAGGACACCAAAGTACAGCCTCAGAAGGTTGGTCATTTGTGAAAAAATTAAAACTGTCAAGAATATCTACCAAGTTGAGAGACCTGGATATGAAACCTCTTGCACCAGGCTGTTTAGCTGCTATTCCAGCTTCAGGTTGAGCACTGACCACTGGGGAGCACATAGCTCCAGATGTTTCTCCTGATCACTCAAGAAAAGGCAAATGTACAGTTAATCTCTAAAAAATTGTGTCTGAGTGACTTTTCACTGATACATCAGCTTGGAAATTTCATGAATATTCATTTCGGCCCTTCCACACACAGAAATTCAGTTTGTGGTGACATATCGCAGGGGAAATCTCAGCTCAAGGAGCTGAAGCCTGGCAAAATCATAAACAATCAGAAACAAGGCCTTCTAATGGAAACTGTTACACAGCCGTAGGTAGTGGGCCACTGTCATCTTCACAGCCAGAGAGTGATTTAATCTGTCTGTTAGGAGAGCACTGGGAGTGATGAATAGGTCTTTGTATTCATTCTCAGCAAGAACGTACCCAGACTGACATATGATGTGGGTTTTTTTAGTCCGTTAGTCAGCTGGATCTTTAAAGAGCCAGGATTTTGCACAACATGGCTATCCAAAGCAGTGCCACAAGATATCAACCACATTCAGAAAGATGGTTTCCAGGGTGGCTGATTGCATCTCTCATCCACAACTTCATTACCTATGCAACTTATCAACAGTGAAGCCTGGTGTAGGCCTCAGATGAAGCTACTCATGCTGGTCACGCTTTTTCTAACCAGGATGACATGAGGTCATAACTGCAGTTTGTCTGCGGCTGCCAGCACAAGACAGCACAGCCACGGAGCTCCTCCACAGAACCATGCTGCTTAGACCTACCAAGGCTGACATAGATGACAGGCTACCTACCCTACAACACTTCCATCCTCATGCACATCTTCTAAACTTATCTGCGTTGCCACTGGTGTGAATTCCATTTCATTTTGGCACCACCCCCGAAGATGTTTTCTGCCATTCATATGAACATGGCCTATTTATTTTTCTCTTACGTTTGTGATGAATTATTTATTAGCTCTTAATCCCAATATGGACAAAATGCTCAAACTTCATTAAGTTAGACTTCAGTCAGAAGCTGAACACCATGAATGATGATTTTCCTCCCTCTCCATTTCCTGAGCTGTCCTTATACATACATACTCTTGAGACTTAAGGGTGAACTGATCTTGGGAGAAGACACAGCAGAGAACAGATTTGTGTGGGCTGACTGTGTTGGTGGTGTTGGATTTGAAAGGGGTAGAGCACAGACTCCTCTACATCTGAGCTGTAGAAGCTAGATTTTACAGCCAGGGCACAAAGGCTTGGCTTCCTGCAGTGCTGATGGTGTCTTGCCCCAGCACAGTATGCTGCCGCCACCAGAGAAAGTTGAGAAATATTTCCCTGTCCCTTTTTTCCTAGGTCACAATTAGGTTTTTAGAATCATTCCCAGAGAGCAGTTGGGCCCAAGACCCTATGCATCTCTACTCTGGAGCATTGTGAAAGGCTTGAACAGTGTTGTCTGTCACTACCAGAGAAGCTCACCATTCACCAAGGTGCAGAACTGTCAGGGCTGGTTGCTAACTTTTAACTTGTCCGGCAATTGGTTAGGAAACTTGAAGTGCTGACAAGCCACAGACTACAAGTATGTAATTAAATCTATCCCTACTCAATGAAATTATGTACTTAAAGCTAAGAGTGTGCTTGAGTGCTTCACTGAAAGGCATAAACTGAGGTGGTTAGTCAAGGATAAGAGATAAGGGGAGCTGGGAACACTCATCTGCAGTCATTAGTTAAGAAGGTGCAAGATGGGCTCTACTGTTCATCATGAGTGAAGCCAGATGCATTTGGGAACCAACTGAAGAGAAAATAAACTGGGACACATAACAGCTGTAGCGTTTCCCATTTAAATAGTGCAGAGAATGACTATGCGTACCTGTAAAGATGCAAGTCACTTCAAGCAGTTAATAGGTTCACTGAACAACCACCAACCTAGATAATTAGATCGAAAGTACCAGCTTCTCAGTCTATTCTTTCCTTTTGATAGACGTCTCCCAGAAGTCAAGTATGATTTTCACAAGGCGAGATAATAAGCTGTCTGTTGTAGGAAGTCTAGAGTGAACCACACAGAAAATCAACACAGTCTGAAAACAAGAAACATGTCAAAATGCAAAATCAGTTACTTTAAAAATAAAATGAGAGAGTGACTCAAACAAGCAAGCTTTGTCTTACAGGTACTATTCTAAGTCATCAACAAAATAGGAAAAAAATTATATGAAACTTGCTGAAATTAACTCTTGATATGTATTTGCCAGCATCATTGCTTGCTTTCCAGGCTGCACAATTTCATCCTCAGTAGATGTCAGGTTAGAGAGAGAAAGGAGAAAGGGAGGTATTACAGGACAGTGAAGGGACAAAGAAACAAGAAGGAACAGTATATAATGCTTTTATATCACACATATCATACACATTTTGACTTTCACTAAATGTTTGTTTATTTACATATTTCCTTCCAAAAGTGGCTGGGAAAACTTAGACTATCATCTAGTTGTGTGAGTACAGGATGTCTTCTTGTACAGAAGACGCCTAAGAAAACTCATGTAATCCATGAAAATTGCTAGGGCATCACATAGGCCATAAGCATGGGCCATGGGAGTGTGGGTAAGCCCAACCCAGTTGGGCCTATGGCTAGGCAGGGATGTGGGGAGCTGGACCCCAGCCCTGCTGTGACCTCACTGGGTCAGAAGCTGATGGCACGGGGGCTGAGGTGGCGCCCAGACTGGTTGGGGTGCCTTGGGGAGAGGACAGAAACATCAGGGCCCAGCAGTACTTCCAATGCTTTGGCTGACATAGCCCAAGTGCCTACATGATAACACAATTTGTGGAATCAGAAGAAGGTTGTGCTGTTTCCAGCTGTTTGACAGCAAATCCAGCAGTACCAGTGAAGAGAGGATGCAAACTCCCTCAATCTACCTAGGTAGAGTTGTCCCAAGCAGGGAGATGTTACCCACAAAGCTGATGTTAATCCAACACCTCCATTCCTAGCAATGGAAAATAGTTATTTCATGCCTTCAGTTGATGAAAGGCATGCTCATTAGCCTCTGCTGCTTCATTCCCATCCCACTCTGGGACCGGCCGTGATGGTCTTTCCCAAGACACGAAAGGAAGAGGTTGGACACCTGAAGCTATCGTTGCTTCCTCAGCAAAACAGTTACCTCAAAGAAGATCAGAAACCTGGGTTTACGTAGGTGGAATATTCTACATGAAGTCTTTATGTTATTTTTTCTTCAGCAGTGAGAGTCAAAAATTTGTCAGCGAGTGACAGTTTGGGTTGCTGGGCTTTAGTGGCTCTTATTTTTCTCCCCTCAGTGATTTGTGCCAACTGTTACTTCATGCATATGGAATACACAACTTCTAGCCTTTCCTTGCTGGTGTGAAGTAAGAGTTTGGCACGTGTTGAAAACAACAAGTAGAAATTAACTTGCTCTCTCCCATCTTCAATGTCAATAACTGCCAGTAATTATTCAAAGTATTAAACACAGCCATCTTGCCGTCACCTTAATTCTTCACATTAAAAAGGGATTATATAACAAATTAGTCTGATTTAGTCTATCTTCCAGAGACTTACTCAGTGGTTCACTCTTCTTTATTAAATTAACAGTTGAAGAAGCTTTGGCTTACGGATACGTTATGAAATCCTTCCCACTTTCGGACCACCGGTGCTAAGGAGTGCTTACTGCTCTGGAACCACCTCCTTGGTATTTGCAGAGCCTGAACTCCAGCTGACCCACCACACAGTGAAAACATGCTGGTAGACACTTGTAATCTGATCTTCAAACATTTGCCTTCCAATTTAGAACAAGTGATCCCCAGTTCACTGGGGTCTTAGAGTCTCTCAGCTCTTTCCTGTGCTTGTTTAAATATAAATTAGAGTTCAGACTTGGGGTATGTGACAATGGAGTCTCTACTAATTCTCTCTCTTGTGATGGCTTAGCAAGAAGCAGCAGTTGCAAAGCACAGATAGATCCCTTTCCACCAGTTGTGTGAGGACATCTCCATTGCATTCAGTAGTGGGAATGTCTCCTCAACAGAAGGAAAAGTTGCAAACACGTAGTGTGGCTTATTCCTCCTTGGCTTAATGAAGTCTGCTGATGGTTAGTCATATGAAAGCCTGATGCAATGCCCACTGCAGCCAAAGGCTGTTTTTCTTCTGGTTTTATAGGCTTTGGATCATCGCCTTGCTCAAAACACTAAACCTGTGAGTATTTCAACCTTTAGGGTCAAAACTCATCATTTTCTGCATTCTTTGCCTCTATTTGTAATGAACTCATGTCACTACTACTATGATAGATCTGACAGTAAGCATATCTGTGAATAGTACAGAAATGATCATTTTCTTCTGTTTTTCTTTCTTTCCTTCCTTCCTCCCCTTCTGTTCTATCACTTTCTCCTTTGAGGACAAAGAAGTAATTGCTTCAGATGAGCCCTTCTCATTATTTGCTTGTGAAAGGTGTTGGCCTGAAACTTGGGCATACCAAGTTAACCCACTAATCTGCTTTCATTTTATTTCCTTTTCCACATGCAGTCACCTCACAATCTGTTAACTCACATTGCTTTGAGAAAGCTCAGTTAAAGAAAATGAAATCATTTGCTTTTGGTACTACCAGTTCTCTCATGATCTGCGTACCACAGTTGAGAAGAATTTACTTTATCCAGCTGCACACATGACCAGTAATGTTCAACTGACACTGATGTTCTTTTTAAAAAGTCTTTTTGAGGAGTGAATTTGTAGTTTTTTTGTTTTTTTTTTTTAATACGAAAACCTGATTTTGTCAGATGCTTTGTTATATTCCCAACAATCTCTGACTTAAGAACTGCTGAGTACTCTCATAGGAGGAACATACTGCATCAAATCTCAATATTCATCACTCAAAGGATTTAAACTCACCCAATTAATTGGTCCCACAATTGCATACAATTATTCAACAATCTAGTAGTATTTCATCTGAAGTTGTTCATAGTAAGAAAATACTACATGCAAGCACACCATTTGAGATCAGAATTCCATGTATGTGCCAAAGGAATGATAGTTTAATGCTGATAGGCTGGAAAAATCAAAATCCAAAAACAGCCCAATTCTCAAGTGACAAAGCACATGGGGAGCAATAATGGTTTCTACTGCCTTTGTGGATTAGACACCCAAAAATTGAAGAACTTGCAGTAATTGTCCTTCCAACCATGCTGTTATGCATGATGTGGAAACAGCTTCTTTCAAAACCCCTCATACCAAACCCTAAAAACCTCTACCCACTCAAAGGGGACATATAAATAAACAGGAAGTCTTATAGAAATGGACACGAATAAAGAATTTACTTCTGTAGGAAAGAATTTCCAAAGATATTAAACCAGTGTCTCAGTGTTTCAATAACGTAATTTTCTCTCTTAATTTTTACATCAGGATTTTAAACATCTACAGTTTGGCAGACTGCCTTAATGTAATCTATATGTAAAACAACCCAACCACATGCTGCCCTGTTCAATATGAACAGCTTTTGTTCAAAGTGCATTGGCTGGCACTTTTCCATATGGTATTTTTGTTTCGGTCATCGTTGTCAGGCAATATTGTAATACTAAAATGTATTGCAAATATTACATTAAAAATGTATCCCATTCCATAAAATGCACTAGTCCTGTAAAAATGAAGTTCTGTTGAAATCCTGATAACAAAACAACCAGACATTGGCAGTTGTTATAGCATATTTGTGACCTTCATTTTCAGTCCAGCAGCATGGACAGGATGGAATTACACTAGCAAGTTCACACTCACCAAAAAATTTATCCCCTCTGGTGTGGTTTCATGGGATTCAAAACATCATAGAACACTTCAGGCCTCTCTGAGCAGTGGTCACCCTTGCTCATGGCATTCTGCAAACTGGAAAAACAAACAGCAACTTAAGAAAATTGTTGGAGTTGTTTTTCTTTTGACAGAGCAACAGACAAGAATGCACAAACATTTCAAAGGAGGAAACTAAGTCAAAGCATTAGTATGTCTGCCACAGAGAGTTTTTGCACCCCATTCTTGAAGGAAGGAAGGAAGGAAGGAAGGGAGGAAGGGAGGAAGGGAGGAAGGGAGGAAGGGAGGAAGGGAGGAAGGGAGGAAGGGAGGAAGGGAGGAAGGGAGGAAGGGAGGAAGGGAGGAAGGGAGGAAGGGAGGAAGGAAGGAAGGAAGGAAGGAAGGAAGGAAGGAAGGAAGGAAGGAAGGAAGGAAGGAAGGAAGGAAGGAAGGAAGGAAGGAAGGAAGGAAGGAAGGAAGGAAGGAAGGAAGGAAGAGAACAAAACCCCCAGAAAGTGCTTTTATCCACTTGAATTAATTTTTATAGAATTTTGCTTTCAAAAGGAGAGGACAAAGGAATTGGAAACCAAAAAAGGAAGAGGTAAACCCCATCCTAAAGTTTTGAGGGACATATTGCTCAGCGAAGCATGCATTCTCAGGGGTTTCATGGAGTTCCTCACATTAATCCCACTGGTAGTTAACAAGGTTTATGCTGCTGAGCTCCTGAGTCTGGATGTATAGAACTGCTACCAAACATGAACAATGCTTGCAGCCGGAATTGAAGAACAACACTACAGTACATAGCAATAAAACTAAAAGGAATGACAAGAAGTTTTAAGTCAAATGTATTCAGGAAGAAGATGGGCCACGTGAAATGGAAATACAAAAGTCCAATGCCAAGGTGATGAAAGACTCACTCAGAAGTGTCTCCTCTACAGCAAAATATTCCTGTTGCCTAACTTAATTGGCAACACCATTTCCATAGGGACTGGAATCTGATCTGACACCTAGTTTACAGTAAGTTATCAAAGTCAGTTACTGTAACAACACACTAAAAATAATGTATTATGGATTTTACATGAGTCTTTTATTTTTGCACAGAAGTCAATGTTGTGCCAGGAGGAATTTTGGCTTTACTTTCACATAAAATATTTTATCCTGAAAAACAATTGAAACCCTAATCAGATTGCATCATTCTATATTGCTACTAACTGCAATTTATCTGCTCAGATGGAAAAACCATACCAGTTTTTGACTGAAAGGCATGCCATTAAGTTTCTGAGTTGTTTACATGTAATGCAACATGACAGAAATTTGTGCAGAGATGAGAGACAAGGAGCTATTTGAAATTAACCGTTTGGAATCCTGTCTATAGCTGTTTGCAGTCTGCAGGAAATTGGCAGTACTGACTGGGGATATTGGGATGTCTGTGGGTCCTGTGAGAGGATTGAGAGGGTTTTTCATATTCACACTTGGTAAAAAGTCACTGCACCTTTGGGTGCTCGGGTCTGGAGAGAGAGGAAGATTGTGCTAACACTCTCAGCTTCTAAAAGAGTAAGTAGCAAATCTAAAGTATGGAAACATTAAGCAGGAGAGCTTACAGTACATGATACGTACCTCACACATGAAGCACGGCCTTTTCTCCCCCAGTCCCTTCCAATATCAAGGGATATCAAGGAGATGATGGAGCCTGCGGAATGGCTGGGCACAGCAGCAGCAGCCGGGCACAATGCAGTCATGTGTGTGATCACAGGAGATGCTGTTCAGGAAGGAAACAGAAAGGAGACTGAATGAGATCTGCAGAACTGCTTCTATAGCAGCTTGTTGGTTTTAGGATGGTTGTAGAAAGTAAAGGCGAGCTCAGGCCTGGGCTGAATTAATGTAGATACATCCCATTCGGGAAAGCTCCTTCAGTTGTGCAATGTTTTATCTCCTTAGCCTGTGGATTAGACAGGCAAGAAGGCAGGCAGGCAAGAGGTCTTCTCTATCCAAAAGCCAAGAACAATCAGATTTCTATGGGATTACACTGGAAAACATGAATCACGAAGCTCAGAGAACAGGGAGTTTTAAAGATCCAACTATTTGTTTGTTTGTTTTAAAACTCATAGCTGACACCTTTCAGCCAGTCTTTTGAGTGGGGAAGCAGAAGTTTGGGAACAAGATTTTTGAATGTCTGAGATAAGGTCTGGGCCAAAAATGATTGGTGATCTTCTATGGCAATTCAGGACACCTCAAATAAGTAGCATCAGGGATCAGAGGATAAATACACAATATTTTCTGTCACTTTACAATGTTTCCATCTCAACACTTGAAATATCAAGGACCCCTAAATCACCCGGCACTCAGAAAATGTGGATTTAAAACCTTTTTTGACGGAGAAGAAATTACTTCCTCCAGCACAGAACCTGTCTGTCATCTGGGAAAGCGTGTTTGATGATGGAAAGAAGAGGAAAATTAATTAAACTAATAAAAAGGCAACTGGAAAAATTGAATTAATTCTCAACTGCTCATGGGGCAAGCATGGACACGGAGAGAACTGCAGCAGCCTTGGTGTTCCTTGGTTAGATAGTTAGATCTGTAAGAGACTGAAAACACCTCTGCAATGATGGCGAGATGATTGTCTTCACCATGTCTCAGACACTGAAGGAAGACAGGATTGGCTAAAGCCAGTGGAAAATTATTAGGAAAAGGGGTGTTTTATGTGCTACTCTTGTTTCTCTTTCTGAGTCATTCTTCTTGCTTGAGTGGTCTGAGTTACAGCAGCTGGATCTGTAAGTATTAACATTGCATTTCTAACCTTCATGCTTGCTTTGAAGCTTAAGTACAATAAGTGAAGACTGGTGAATTTATAAAGCATATTTAAGCCAGCCTGTAGAAACAATTTGTGAGACTCAGAACCACTGGCAAACATCTGCATCTGTTCTGTTTACTCAGATAATAGAAGAAAGGCCTCACTACTCACAGATAAGTTTCTAAATTAGGTCGTTCAGTCCGAGCATTTAGACTGGTTGTGATTATATATCTGTTTATTTTACTAATGAAGGCAGTTACCTCTCTAATGGGACTCAGATGAGGATGTTCCTGCTGGTAATGGAAAAAAAATCATGTTTATAATTTTCAGTTCTTAATGTGTCCTCCCTCTGACCCATGTATCCAAAATAGCCAAAATCCAATGGCTTCTGAAAATGTAACATCTAAAATGGTGCCTTTTTGAAACAACACAAATTAAAAAAGAAAAAAAAAAGAAAAGTACACAATACTATGAAAATCACAAATACATTGATACTGTAATGGAATAGGAGTACACTGAACCAAATCTACCCCATGTTAATTATATTGCTTTTTCCCCTAAGAGACGGTGTTGGATATATGGCAGAGCACAAACTGCTGAGAATTACAATGTGCTTCAGAACTGGAATCTTGTTAGTCTCTGCTTAATGTTTAGCCTTTCACTCATAAGCTGGGAAGAAATGGCAATTCATTTAGGAAACACCATGTGTCTGCCAGGCGATGCACGGCAGGAGTAATCAAACAGTCTGCAAACATTGCACAAACGTGCACTTGTTCATGCCAAGACCAAGAAAAAAAAAACCAAAAAACAAACAAAAAAACCCCAAAAAGCAACAAAACAAACAAACAAACAAAAAAAAAAAACAATATGATTTTGAGGCACAAACATACAAGCAGCTGCTGCAGCAATCTGAGATGCTATTGTTATTACCTCCAAACTCCCTTCTACACTATGGAGATGAAAAGGAAAGATATAATTCTGTATTTTGAATACCCTGAAATACAGGCTTTTGTCCAGATAAAAGCACATCTGCACTTTGCTATTGGCATTTGTCCATCTAGCTAATGAGAGGTCTACTTCTTATTCTTTAGTTAAAGGAAGCCATTGCATATACATTCCATTGGTAACAAAACACATCAACAGCTGAACCTAACTCTTGAAGATGTTACTCTCAACTTTGTAATGCTGTGTAACACATCGGAGTCCCAGTCATAATGTAGTATCAACTGTAGACATCTGTGACCATGTTCCCACACAAAGCAGATGAAGTACCAGAAATATTCTTTTTCCAGAGAATACTGATACAAGCAGCAATCCAGCAGTTCCTCCATTACAGCTTAGAACCTACCATTGCAAAGAAGAAGCAACAGGCAACTTTGTCCCCAGAGCAACCCTCAAGAGCAGGCTGTAGCTCTGAGCAGCTGCTTTGATCCATTTGGCTGCCATTTGCTTGAAGCTTCTGCCCTGCAGGCTAAGGCTCAGCTAGGGAGCTGGAGGCTTTGAAAGTCTGGGTCAGTGCTGGCATGAAAAAGCAGTTTTCAAGAGAATCAATCTCCTGCCCAGGTCCAAAGCATCATGAAAGTGTCAAAAGGATCAAATGCCAGTGCTGAAGAAGATAAGTATACTAGCATTTATTTATATGAGTTAGCAAGTCATTTCTATCTTGAAGAAATGAAAATTTTGCAGCTGCCAAGTCCCTGTAAAATTTGACATACTGTCACAAAACACGCTGAATTCTTCAGTCATACAGCTGAGTCACGAGCCAGAGTTCCATGCTGACCAATCCTCAGCAAAAACATCCTAATAACTGATGAGAATCTTTAACATTGAAACCTGTGCATGTTGCTTCTTGCCCTGTCACTATGCTCATCCCAGAAGAATCTGGCTCCATCTTTGTATGTGGGCTTGTTCTTCTAGCAGCCCATTCACCATCAGTCTCCTCACATTCCCTGTCCTCAAACGACCGCATCTCCAAAACGTTCAGTCAGGATGATCAAGCTCCTCCTTGTTACCATTCTCTTTCATGATTTGCAGTCTTCCCTCATCCCCCCCTGTAGCCACTCTCACTTCACTACCTCAATTGCAGAAGTTCTACCATCTGAGTTCAACCCTCAAACTGAGCCTTCATTTTTTTTTTTAAACAAGCCAGGAAATCAACAGTGCCCTACAATTAGGCAAGCTTTTCTGGAAGCTTGAGTAGCGGGATCCAAATTTCCATGAGACAGAAAGCCCAGGCCAAACTTGATTAAGCCTTCAGCAGAAGGCATATTTCCGTTCTCTCCTCCAGACATTTCAAATTCACTCTTTTGTCTTTTATTTTCTCTGTTAGCAGTTCCTCAGTCTGTTTCCTAGACAGTTTGTGCCAGTGGGAATCATTTCTGCAATGCCAATGTTCCTTTCATGAGCCTGCCTTGGCTCAAGGCAAAAGAGTAAAAGACTGAAATGCTATTCTTCACCAGAACAGATCAACAAGGTATAAATATTCTCATGTCTTGTTGTCTTTCAACAAAATATGAGACTCCTACCCATTTCCTCTCCTTATAAAAAAGGTATATAAATGAAAGGAAACTAAAGCATGCAGTGCAATATGAAAGAGCGACAGAACATTCTCAGTGTTCTGCTTACTGACACTCCAGTTTTGATCAGTTATAGATGTACCCATTGGAGAATTTGTTTGTATCAGGACTTTTTTTCTATGGTGAAGCTAGTAGGGTGAGATTTGTACGTCCCAAGAGGAAAAGATACTACAGTGATTTGTTATGAGATCAAAATGCCATGTATGACATGATCAGCCCTAATGGAGACATCAGAGATAAGTAGCACCTACCTAAAGAGTGCTTCTCATCACTTAATCACAGGGTTATTCTGTATCTCGCAGCCAGTAAGGTTAGGGTCACTTAAACCATCACATTTTATACAATGCTTTCCTATTTTTCTAATACATTTTCAGTATCTGAACATGGAATTTTCCACAGTGAAGTTTTCAGGACTATCCTAACTGATGCTTTTATCCCAGAATGGAAAGGCTTGTATACTTTCCTTTCATTAGATAACTAGTTGAAACATAGTTTCTTTATCATTTCTTGCAGCTAGGAGTTGATGACAGTAATCAATTAGCTTACTATTATCGGAACTAATAATTCTGGCAATAAGAAAAATCCTACGTTACAGTCTTGAAGGTGTTTCCATGCCACAGAAGATCTGGAAAGCATTTTAGTGACTTTACTACATTTCCACACAGCTCCAGAGAGAAGATAGTAATGAAACTCCACAACCTTTTGAAAGAGCGTAGTATGTTTTCCTTTCTTGGCAGATCAAACCTATGAGGCTTCATAGTCAAAGCAATAGTTCACCCAAGTCATAAAATAATCACAAGGCACTCTATGCTGACATCAGAGTCCTGTTTCTCACATAAATTTTGGCTGAGGACCGGGGTACAGGCACAGGAGTAAAGCAAAGCTCACACAGCATTACAGAAGCTTAGTCTGAAGTTTTTCATATTGCAGTGGAGCCTAAGGCCATTTATTTGCTTTGCTGAACACACAGAATTCAGAGATCTTAGATTGGAAAAGTAATTGGAAATCAGCAAGACCTAAAGCATCAGTTCACCATTAGCAACCTCTGAGAAGCTCACAAAGGACTGAGGATCACATACTTGGTCAGTACATCCTAAGGTGCTTTGAAGATGATGATCTCCAGCATCGGACAACCACAGTCTCAGATCAAGCTGACTCAGCCTCAGTTCAGTCTGAGCCCACGTAGAAAATGCCAGAACCCTCTGGAAAGGCCAAGATTCTTGCAAGATGAAACACAGGTAATTCTTTCTGCCAAACACTGTCACCACAAGCTCAAGGAGGATAGCTGAAAACTGTACAAAGTTCCAGCAGCTTGCCATGCCTCGTGGTGAGCCTGCCCTTGGAAGGACTCTGTGCAGGAAGCCCAATCCA